TATGATAAAATAAAATTATCAAAGTATTTTTTTTAATTCATGGACCTAGGTTAAGAACGCTGATCTCTAAAAATCCATTCCAATTCTGAGATTCTGTGGTTCTGTAACTCTTCTTATAACCCTCATATTGAAGTTTTTACTTTGCTTTTTTTCTCTAACAGCCACTGATAATGCTATTATATACGAAATCTCAAAACCTATTAAACTTTCATGGAAAAATGGCTAACAGCCTAAGAATATTCAAGGCCGTCTAGTCCAATTCATCACTCAATGCCAACAGTTCTTCCAGAAAATCCCTGACATATGGCCATCCAGTTACAGCTTGAACACCTGAAGGTGACATATTAGAACATATTTCCCATGAGGTAGCCTAGTCTACCCTAGTTATTAGAAAGTTCTTTCTTTTCTTTGCAAAAACCTGCTTCCTTGTAATTCACACCAAGTGAGCCTAGTTTACTTTTTGGAACAACACAGAACAGGTTTGCCTCCCCCAAACCCTCTCTCCATAGCATATATTATTTGTTTTTAAAGTACAATATGGACATGACTCACCAGAAGTCTAATAGAATTATGCTTATTTTCTGAAGAAGAAAAAAAGGCAAACTCAAACATAGAATTACTGTAGTCAAAATCTCCTACTGGTTTAGTATCAATAAACAATGAAATCCAGGAGCATCTATCAGTTGAGAATTCAGTCCCTGATAACATAGTTAGCTATCATTTAAAGCAGTGCTGGCATACCATCCACTTTCTCTAAGTTGTATATTCTTTTTTAAATTCTGTTTCTTGCTTGAGCCCAAGACAGGTAGCCCTCACAATTAACTCAGTTCAAATAAATCATACTTTTTGTATCATTGACCTTTCATTTCACACAATCAACTGTCACATTCATCATATCTGCCTTCATGCTTCATAGCCTTCTTACTCTGATTTATTTCTCCTAATGACTCAGTGCCCAATTTCCAATTTCTGGATCACTTAACTATTAAACTGTTCTACAAATGTGTATTGTACTTAGGGGGAAGGTGCCTTCTCTTGCTTCATTTTGAGTATTGACAGAAATAATTGCTATCACATAATTTTACTCTCAAACCATTAAATGTGTCAGTGCAAGACTATAAAAAAGATAAATGAATATTTATAGAGAGCAACAGAATGGAGACAGTCCTTACCCAGTTTATCATTTATAGTCCTGGTTGCCTGGCATTTTAAAGATGATTATTTGACATTTCATTTTTAAAATAAGTTATTTGGAATACCTTTGGACAAAGGAAGAATTACTTGAAATGAAAGAGATAATTGATGCTGAAAATACAGTTGTTTGACAGTGGAAAAATATATGAGTACTTAAAAAAATATCAGCAGGATTTGAACTTGATACCACATAATGGCCAGATGTGTTACATTAGCCACCAGATGGAGCTCCTATTGTATCTTGAATCATCATCAACTTTGTGAGAGTTCAAGGAGAAATCACTCAGAAGGCTTAATTGATGGCACTTGCTTCTCAACATCATTCATACAGGAGATTATGACACACAGACTCATTTCATTTCATGGTTGGTTTATTCAATGACACTTAAAAAACCCCCAACTTTGTCTGCCATGCTATTACAAATCTATCTACTTTAAGTAAATCTTTCATCAGTCTTGCTGAATTGTAGCCAAATTTCTGTACCTAATCCATGCCCAGGTCAATACATCTCATGTAGCTTCATCAATCTTTTCTGACAAATTTCTTTCTTCTTTATGTTTTTCTACTTTGGACACCTGTTTTCAATCATTTTATTCTTGTCTCATCCTTTTAGACATAGCTGTCTCTACATCTGTCTCTTTATTTTCTTTCCAAATATCCTTTAGGGATTTCTATTCTCACTTGTCTGTTAAGTGTCTCATACATTTAAGGTCTAATCTCTTATTCAGTTTGAGAATACCTATAGTCTATTTGTAACCACTGATAGTCTGATTTGTGACTAGATTCATTTCAAATTCTCTAGTACTCTGTACTACTTGAAAAATATAATATCCACAACTCAAATCTTCAACAATTATTGAGCTCAGAAGGTTCTTTCCAGTTCTAAATACTATGATTCTTTGAATTATTGTTTAATTTCTTTGTCACTTATAGAGTCATTGTGTACCTCTCTTCCTCCCTTCCCCCATTCCCACAAGATCCCCATAAAGAACCCCATAAATACCTTGTTTCATTCTCTTTATCTTTACTTTTGGACATTTCCTCTTGCCTGTAAAATGTTTCTCCCCATCTACCATGCGATACCCTTCACCCCTTCTATCCATACATAGATCTGAATCCTATCTTCAAGGATTAGCTTAAGTGAGCACTATACTAGGCACACTTACTAGCTAGCATTTATATAATGCTTTTTGGTTTTGAAAGTATTTGACAAATATTGCCTCACTTTACTCTCACAACAAACTTTAGAGATAGGTGCTATTATTATATCCATTTTACAATGATAATCTGAGGTAGACAGTGGTTAAATGACTTGCCCAAGGTCACACAAGTTAGTAAATTAGTAAGTGTCTGAGGCCATATTTGAAGTCAAGATTTCTGACTCCAAGTGCAGTACTCTATCCACCACCTAGATACCTTTAGTGGGCAAAACAGACATAGTAAATGAATATCAAGCGATATCAATAAATTTGCATGTTTTCAGCATTCCCTCTCTGATGCACCACAATTTCTTTATTTACTTATAATTTGTACTGCCTTTCATATTAGATTTCCCAAGCAGTTGAGAATTACAAGTTGACATATCATGTAATTGATTTTAATATACTATTATCATCAAATGTCAGTTATGTATTGAGCTCTGTGTTTTAGACAATATACCAGGTAAGTGACACGTTCTGCCAGAACTTGAGACAGCTAGGGAACATAGCGATTAGATGGATGGAATTGGTGTCAGGAAGACCTGAGGGCAAATCTGGCCTTAGACATTATCTGCGTGATCCTGGGCAAGTCACTTAACCTCTGTATGCCTCAGTTTCCTCATCTGCAAAAAGAAGGAATTGGATTTGATGGCTTCTGAGGTCTTTCTAGCTTTAACTCTACAATCTCTTAAATACGATTTCCCAACTTATGTATTTCATAATGATAACCCCAATTCCACATTAGAATATACCTTGTGTAGTCATGGTCTAAATCACCTCTCCTTAACCAACCTTGTTTATTTATTGTCTCCACACACATATCTTATGTGCTTTGTAAACCTTTAAGTAATATACAATGTGAGTTATTTCTATTTCTTTTTTCTCTACTAGATTCTAAGCGTCGTGAGAGTATGAAGGCCACACCTTATTTAAACTTTGTATCTTCCTCTACTCTAACATAGTTTTTTGTGGGATACAAGCTGAAAATTAAATGATTCTTGAAATGAATTGAATTCCTACCATGTGCCTTTGCTGACCCCTGAAATGCCTTCTTTTCTTTTCAATTAATCAATAAGCATTTATTAAGCACCTATTATATGCCAGGCACTGTTCTAGGTACAGGAGACACAAATATAAAAATGAAGCAGTTCCTAGTCTTGAGAAGCTTACCATTCTATTGGTTGACACAATATGTATAGAAATAAGTAGATGAAATATATACAAAAAAGGTAAAAAATTAAATTATCTTCTGTAATTATCCAAATTCTACCCATCCTTCAAGATTTCATCTGTGATATCTCCTCTGGACCAGAGTGATCTCTCACTGATCTCTCTGAAATCCTAAAACATTTATAATCTAGACAACTCAGACACTTATTTTATGCCCTTATATTTTTAATGTCATTTAATATGCCTGTCTTCTCTCACCAACCAGACATTTTCATTTAGTGAGTCATGAGAATATACCTTACAACTGTAGATACAATGGCAGCCTTCAAATATTTGATGGGCTGTCATTTGGAAGAGAGATAAAACTTGTTCTGGTAGGCCCCAGAGGTCAGAACTAAGAATAATGGTTGAAAGTTGTCAAGAGGCAAATTTATGTCATGACAAACTTCTTACCAACTAGGATTATCTAAAAGTGAAATGGTCTGCTTTGGGAAGTCAAGAGTTCCCCATCCTTTCAGGTTTTCAAGAGGAAACTGAAGACCAAGCACTTGTTGGGGGCAGGGGGCGGTGTTGTAAAAAAGCTTTTTGCCCAGAGGTAGCGTGGATCAACCAGCCCCTGAGGTGACTTCCAACTCTGAAATTCTTTAATCATTAATCATTTAAATCATCAATCGATTCCATTTTAAAATTATTTTTAATTTATGGAATAAAACAAGCATTTCCGTAACAAGTACAATAAAAAAGATTATTGTACACAAAACTAAATCTACTATGCACAACTTGCTATTCCTTTCAAATAGACAACAAAATTATCCCGTAAATTTATTTTTTTTTCTTTTCTTCCCCTTTCCCCTGCCCTAGAGATGGCTACCTTTAGACACAAATAGGTATGCATATGTAAAATTATTCTATACATGCTTCTATTTATCGCATAAAAATGGGGCATAAAAGGAAGAACTAATGCAGAGGAAGCAGATGAGGATGAAGGACTGGTAACATTGGAACCTTGCTCTCATTTGGGTTGAAGAGGAAACAATGTATATGTCTGAAGAGGTTTAGAAGTATTCTGAACCTATTCCGTTTTCAGAAAATCAATCAGTTGGACATTTATTATACCTTTACTATGGGCCAGACGCTGTGCTAAACACTGGGGATATAAAGAAAGGCAAAAGGTGTCCTTGCCTTCAAGGAGCTCATATTCTAATATGGGAGACAACATGCAACTGATCATATACACATAAGATATATACAGAATAGAAGGAAGGTAATCTCAGAGAGATGGCACTGGGAGGAGAGAGGGATGGTGGGGGAACCAGAAAAAGGTAGTATTTGAGCTGAATCTTCAAGGAAGCCGGAGAAGCTAAGAGTCAGAAGTGAGGGGGGTAGAACATAGTACTATACTGCTTATAAACACTTGTCATTTATTTTTTGATTAGGAAACTATGGGGAAAGTGGAATGGATGCTTTCAAAGAGCTGGCTGCCCAGGAAGGTCTATGCATTGCTCACTCAGACAAAATCTATAGCAATTCTGGGGAGAAAAGCTTCGATCGGCTTCTACGCAAGCTCCGAGAGAGACTACCCAAGGCCAGAGTGGTGGTTTGTTTCTGTGAAGGAATGACAGTCAGAGGGCTCCTGAGTGCCATGAAACGTCTGGGAGTGGTAGGAGAGTTCTTACTCATCGGCAGGTAAGTCTCCCTTTTGTGAACTCATACATGTGCTATGCATATACACCTGCCTGGTTGGATTCACAACTTCAGAAGGGGTGGAGCAAACTCTGATGAAATGTATGCATTGAAAGTATGGTTCTTCTCACCTACTTATTAATGGTAACACAATAAGAGCAACAAAATGGCAGAGATATAAATGACAAGATGGTAGAGCTATTTCTAGTAAGACAGGCAAGTTAGTGTTGCCTCTATAGTCTTAGGAAGCTATTGATGTTTTTCTTAATGTAAGTGCTCATGAGTTCATATTGACAAAGCCTGGAAAGTTGGTGTGTGTGTGTGTGTGTGTGTTGAGGTGGGGGTGTGAGTGAAGGGTAAGGAAGAGGAGCCTGGGAAAGATTTATGTTGCAACTTCTGACATTTGAAAATGGTGCTATATACAGGCAAGAGCAAAGCTGGACAATGGAAATGAACAAAGCAGAGAAAGCCTCTTGGCATGTTGAGGAGATAACAGTGGTACTGTTTTCATGCCTGCTTGCAGGGGGCCAGGGGAGAAAAGAGGCTGATAAAAAGGAGGAAAATGTGTGTTTGTGTGTGTGTGTGTGTGTGTATTTGTATGTGGGAGTCCCTATTTTTCAATAAAGTGAACTATGTTCCACTAGAGATGTCTGCTTTTCTCTGCATCATGTGTATTTAACTAGGACCAGTATGGTATTTCTCTGTTTTCATCTGGGTTTTAGATTAGTAGTTATCTTGATTCATTTCCTCACTTTCTTTGAAAGTGAAAGCAACTACTGCTCTTATCCCTAGGAAACACCACGGAGGTTGTCTCAATGAAAACTTTTCTTCCCGCCAAATCACTGTCACTAGATTTCAGAACACCAATCCCAGCCCTTTCTCATTTCTGTGGGCCTTCTTTCCATCTGGTTAGTTTTACTAGAGACAAATCAGACACCAGGTTGTTGAACCTGAATTCCTCTTGTAATTTAAGCTGCTTTTCCCTCTTCTCTTCCAGTTGACCTTTTCTTGGAGCAACTGAGTTATCTGAGCTATGGGAGGTGTAGAATGTGGGTAGAGACTCAACATCATTACCCCCAGACTACCTGATTATATCCCTCAGGGACAATACACTCAGGCAAAAGGGCAGATTTTACCATCACCTTGACTGACCTCCTCAGAGAAATGGACCCCAGAACTCCATGACCGAATTAAAGCTAGAGATAGCAGATTTCCAAACAACCAACTATGATTCGCTGTGAATTTGGGTAGGATTAGAATTTCAGCAGAAAGTCTCATAATTTTACATATACAGCTTCTCCTACATCCAAATAAGAAGCACAGAAGAGAGTAGGCCTTTTAGAGGGAAACTTTATTTTGTTAATTGAGTGGAAAGGGAGTAATCAGGAGTGCCATAGTGCTGTGCTTAATGAAAACCCTTAATTTATCCATCAAGGCTATAGACAGCAGATACTCAGACCTCATAATCACTTCAACCCTGTAATATGTGTGTAGAAAGATTACTCTTATTAGAGATACTTCTTGTTAAATGATCTTTTCTCAAGTTCAACCTTGAAAAAAACATTAGTCAACCATGCAGAAATGCTTTTCTTCAATGTATCCCAAGAGGGTCTTCATCTAACTTTTAGGAAGCTTGCACAGATATAGTAAATGTACTGGAGGAAACATAGGAACTATCTTTAGGGTATATAGATGGCTTAACAAAATATAGGTGGCCATAATAAAATAAAATGCAGCTTTGAGTAACCTAAGCATGAATGACTAATTCCATCATCATTATTTTCTGGAGCACTAGACATAGTACTAATAAGTTATAAATATCTTAACTGTATCTTCCCTATTCAAGTGTGTTTACTCCCTCATATGAAAACTCCTGGAGGAAAGGACTTCTGCTTCCTATATAAGGCTCTACCCTACACTGTGATGCAAAGGCATTTAGTGGATGCTTAATAAATGCTCTTATTTTGTCTGCTTCTAAGCATACAAGGGGTCATGCATGAGTGGTGGTGGGCCATTGTTTTCTATTTTCATTGAAGAAAACAGTGGCTAAGTGACTTGACCAGTATAACGTGGCCAGATAGTATGTGTCTAGCCTAAGCTAAGGTTAGACAGGCTCAAGACATTTTTCACTGAGGATGAGAAAAGTAAGAAATAGTTTAAACTATAAAGAGAAATTTAGGTTAGAATCTTACAAAACCTTCTGAATAAAAGCTAATCTCTCCCTCTTCTGAATTAAAGCTAATCTCTCCCTCTTCTGAATTTCCATAACATTTTCTTTGTATTCATTGGATTGCACTTTTACATTGTACCTTTTATTATAGTTATCTGTGCACACAATATTTTCTTGCAAAGTGTTCCTCCAGTGCCAATGCAGAAATGATGTGGGATTTTCCAAGGTTGAACCAGGTCTGACAGAGTCTACAAAACTGGAAAGGCTTAGTATGGTTCTAGTGAAGGATTGTGTGGTGTGTCTTTTGTCTGAGAACTACTACTACTACTACTACTACTACTACTACTACTACTACTACTAC